AATTGATGGAAAACTGGAGCTAAGAAACACGTTGCTTAACTAATACAGAATGCTTACAGCAGGAGGCATACCATCTGTTAGCCCAAGACTAACCAAATCAATTGGAACACAGAGGGAATGCAATGACTGTCATATTCTGACCTTTCCTAAATAATATATAGTATAGCATCTTTCTCACCCCCATCCTCACAGGTCTGAAAATCATAACAACTCCCAAGTTTTTTTCTCAACCAGAAGACAAACCAAGTCCTGTATATACAAGAATGACACAATGCAATATGAGTATTTGCACCCACAGTGGTAAAGTTGAGCTGCACAATCAGATTCCATTCAAGGGATCAATGTTATCACTGATTCTGTGTATGTTTCCCATGAAATTAAAATGTGATGTTGGACAACACCATATTATAGGGACACAAGACAAAGGAAGCATCTATCAGGAGAAGCTTATGAGAAATGGAAGACATAAATATTCCAATACTTGGGAAGGGAGGGAGCTAAAATCAACAGGAATGGGACATTTTTCAATCACGTAACTACATAATGTTTAATTAAGGAAATGGAAATCTAAGCAAAAATTGGGTGGCATTAAAAGTAAGGTGAGATACAGAAAAGCAGACAAGCAATATAATGGCAAGTCCGAATGACTAATATCTGGAATATTGTGTCCAATTCTGGGCACCACAATTCAAGAGAGATATTGACAAGCTGGAATGTGTCCAGAGGAGGGCGACTAAAATGATCACGGGTCTGGAGAACAAGCCCTATGAGGAGCAGCTTAAAGAGCTGGGCATGTTTAGCCTGAAGAAGAGAAGGCTGAGAGGAGACATGATAGCCATATATAGAAATGTGAGAGGAAGTCATAGGGAGGAGGGAGCAAACTTGTTTTCTGCTGCCCTGGATACTAGGATGCAGAACAATGACTTCAAACTACAAGAAAGGAGATTCCATCTGAACAGTAGGAAGAACTTCCTGACTGTGAGAGCTGTTCAGCAGTGGAACTCTCTGCCCCAGAGTGTGGTGGAGGCTACTTCTTTGGAAGCTTTTAAACAGAGGCTGGATGACCATCTGTCAGGGGTGCTTTGAATGAATTTTCCTGCTTCTTGGCAGGAGGTTGGACTGGATGGTCCATGAGGTCTCTTCCAACTCTATGATTCTATGATTCTAATAAGTAAAACCATCAATATAATCACAATCCAAGTTTATGCTCCAAACACAGAAGCAGAAAGGGAAGAAATTGACCAGTTCTGCATTGCAGTCTTGGAGAACATTGATCATGCAAGAGAACAGAATGTGTTGATAATGACACATGATTGAAATGCAAAAAATGTAGGAAACAGAGCAGAACCCAGGACTGTTACGAGAAGTTGGCCTAGGATGAGGAAAAGAAACGAGAGAGCAACTGGTTAATTTTTTGTGAGGCCAACAATTTCTTCATTGCAAATAGCATGAGAAGAGATTGTTCAAGATAATTATCCTTAGTAAGGAAGAAGGCAGTAGGAAAAGAGAAAGAGAAGTGAATGGACTCAATCAAAGGAAGCAACAGTCTTGTGTCTGGAGTGCCTATGCAGGAATGCTGGCAACACGGTGACCTATTTCTAGGGCTGCTCCAAGTCAAAGCTAACTTGATAGCAAATAACAACAGAAAAACAGAGAGCATCCTGGTGCAACAACAACTACTATTCAGATCTAAGGCTCCGAGAATACAAGGAAGACCACAAGAGTAATATGTTTTTATTCCTTGCAGGACGAGAAGGGATTGCCTGGTGACTTCCAGAGCTTGCCTTGCTTCCCAGCAAATAGTTGCTGTGAACTGCCTAAAAGCATCTCTTTCTCATGCATTAGGGGAAAGGCTGTAAAATGCCCAGTTTTGCAGTTATTGCAGGACTGCTCCTCTCCTTGGACAGGGAAATAGGGAAGCCATGTTCACAAAGGCTGCCTGTTCGTAACTGGAGAAAATCTCAGAGGATGTCTGCTGTCAGGGCAATTTTGCTCAGACCGTTTAGGCAACTATAATGAGAACATATAGAGATCCTTCTGCAATGGGAATGGATCCCTCCCCCTTTAAAACTGATAAAGTGTCAGAGCATTACATGGCACCTGATAACCACTAAGTGACACATTACAACGTTACTGAGCAACAATAGTGAAAACTGATTTTTATGAGAATCCTTTGGAGCAATACTGAGGATTCTCTGTTGAACTGTCTGCCCACAATGTCATCCTACCAGCAGGGATTTGAAAAAGCAGGAAGAGCTTGTGAAGGGTGCAGTACTAAGAAGGCTACCTTAGATGCTATTCTGTCACCACTTGTAGTACCATCACCTGTATTTGCTTTCTTTTTGCAAGTAAATGGCACAAAGGGTCTCCAACAACAAGTCCGTCCCTGTGACAAAACAAAAGCGCTTTTGCTCAATATTCCAAGTACTAGGTATACTCTTTTTCGAAGATACACCCACAAGCAATTCACTCTATCTTTTAGTTTCCATTTTCTGTTTTTTTGTTTTCCAAATGACATCCAACGTTATTTGGGCACAAGAGGACATTCAGCATTCAATCAAGAGATTTGGGATTATGATGATGATGACAACAACAACAACGACGATGATTTTAAACAGAAGTTTATACCTCTTACCTGGGAAGGAATCCCATTAGAGCACTGCAGCACACCAAAATACCTGGGAGTCACTCTGGACTGTGCCCTGTGCCCATAAGTTGCACTGCTTGAATATCAAGCAAAAAGTGGGTGCTAGAAATAATATTGTACGAAAGCTGACTGGCACAGCCTGGGGATCACAACCAGACACAGTGAAGACATCTCCCCTTGCACTTTGCTACTCTGCTGCTGAATACACATGCCCAGTGTGGAACACATCTGACCATGCTAACACAGTGAATGTGGCTCTTAATGAGACATACCACATTATCACAGGATTTCTACGCCCCACATCACTGGAGAAATTACACTGTTTAGCTGATACCACATCACCTGATATCTACCAAGAAGTAGCAGCCAGTAAAGAAAGGACCAAAGCAGTGACATCTTCGCCCTATCCTCTGTTCGGATATCAGCCAGCATGTCAATAACTTAAATCAATAAACAGCTTCCTAAGATCTACAGAGATACTCGCAGGAACACTTCAGCAAGTGAGAGTCCAAAAGTGGCAGACTAAAACTCAGCATCTCAATCAATGGATGTCACTGGATGAGGGAACTCCCTCCTGGGCACAGAGAAGAGTGGGCAACCTAGAAGGCATTGAACAGACTGCATTCTGGCACCACAAGATGAAGCCAACCTTAAGAAATGGGGCTACAAAGTGGAGTCCACAACATGCAAGTGTGGAGAAGAGCAAACCACAGACCACCTATTATAATGCAGTCTGTGCTCTGTCACATGCACAATGGAGAACCTTTTCACAGCAACACCAGAGGTACTCTAAGTGGCCAGCTTCTGGTCAAAGGACATTTAGCATAATCACAAGTTCTTTTTTAAAAACTCCGTTTATGTTTTTAAATGCATTTTAACTGTACCCCCAACTTGCTTCTGACACGATAAATAAATAAACCTTAACGAATCTGCCTGAGATTAACTCAAGGGCAATTTCATCTCAAAAATGCAATTTATTGTGTAGGAAATCTGGATTATGAACATTTAAAAATGTTAATAATATTAACCTTTTTTTAAAAAAGAAAAAAGCAATTCATTGCTCTTCCCCTCTCTCCTTCTGAAAAACAACTCATTAATGGTACTTGTTATTTAGAAAGCAACCTGCTAATAGCATTTCATCAATGTACTACTTTTTATTTCTGGAAATGAATTCAAAAAACACAATACTGTCCCCTAATGACTGCCTAAGCAATGTTTACTGGTAATGAATAAATGCTAGTCATTACACTAAAAAAATTAATGAATTCATTAGTCATTCTCTTGCTTGTTAAAACAACATTGTTATGTTTTTTTTAAAAAAAATGCTGTACAACAGCATGTTACAGTTAATGTCATTAATTTTAATGCATTTCTTCCAGCTCTGTGGCTATCCAGGAAACAGACATCTATCTCTGATAGATGTACCTAAATGTATTCCATGTGCTTTTTTGTATATTCAAATCATATACTGCGACTGGGGAACCAGCTGCCACTTCGTAACGTAGGCCTCTCTAGGGCAGACCAATTATTAAAACTTGCCTCTCCTCATTCCACTTATGTAATGCTTTTGCCTTCTTTAGTCATTCAAGTGAGTGGCCTATCACATGTAATTTTTTATTCCCCTTTACCCGAAATAACTCTCCAAAAATCACATCCTGCTACATTACATCCAGATTTACATGACTATGTACACACTTGTCTTATTGCATTAAGGAACTGGCAGACACTGTATAGTCTGTGGACTAAATGTAGCACATAAATGCCCACAAAGGCCTTTTAGAATTAAATTAGAGTTAAATTAGACACATTCTGATTTTCAAATAACTCCCCATTCACACTGCTGCAATGAGGAAGGGATACCTTTTAAAGAGCCCAGACAGGAAAGTAAACCTTACAAACAAGAAGAGGGGGTCGATTATTTTTCTCTTGCAAAAAGAGAACGTGCAACAAAAAGACCAAGATAGATTTGTGCAGGCAAATGGACCAACAAAAGGTCTCTGTGAGGCACTTCACATTTATCATTTTGATCAGCAAAAGTGATTTCATCAAGAATTATCTGTGGAGGAATGCCCCATTTTCTCTGATCTTTGGCCACTTTTGGCAAGATGTTCCACCCACAGTGTAATGCAGCACACTATTGAACACACTTGCGTCAACTGAGTTCCCATGATATAATCACACTGTATAAATTAGATGATGGTCTGACAAGAGGCACACCCAGCTAGGCTCTGATAGAAATACAGAAAGAAGCTTTCAAGGAATCTCTGAAACCATTTTTAAAAAGAGGGATGGGGAGTAAGTGAGAACAAATATATTCTTGGGTGGTGGTCACAGCAGCTGAAAACCAATTTACCTTTGTAGCTCGTTAAGTCCTCTGGATGTTGACGAGTTAGGGTTCAGCCTTAGGAAATTCTGCTTCAAATTAAGATGCGTTAGGTCCTGGCTGTAAAAAAGATTGGCAGGCAGATCCTCTAGGCTGCAACATGAGAGATCCACTGAGCTTATTCGTTGCGAAGCAATCTGCAAAAACAAAAACAAAAACACACTTAAAAACATCATAATGTTGATTCAAGAAAATGAATCTGTACTGGGCCTTTGGCTTAAATTAGGACCCTTGAGTTATTCATTAAATGGTATCATAAGTGAGGCTGTAGAGGCTTACAACAAACTAAAAGCTTTGAACAAATGGGCCTGTGGCACTTATTTTCAATTTTAGTTTGAAAAACAGTCAGAGTAAAAATGATACGATGCATTAGAGCAAGGATGGGAAACTTATGAACTTCCAGATGCTATTAGACTCTAGTATTTGAATGTTAGTCTTGTGTGGGCTGAAAAGAGTCTGATATCTAGATGGCCATAGAGTCCTCACCACTTCAGCAATATATGAACCATGAAAGGTATAACATTAGAGTTCTCAAGAAACAGAGCAGATGAAGAAAAATTCTGTACTCCTTACATATCTCACTGGCTTTCTCTTCTGGTTCCAGAACCTGCACAAACTTTTTCTCTTACTTTCAAAGTTTACCATAGCATCGCTGTGGTTATGCATCTTCAAGGTAGCCATCATAGATTTTTGTTGTTGCTGTTGTTGGCAATATGTGTTCATAAGAAATTGTGACTTACCCAAAGTTACTCCATGGCTGAGCAGGAATTCAAATCCTGGTCTCCCAGAGTCCTACTCCAACTCTGACACCACTACACCACACATGCTGACTCCACAGTATTTATCCCACTGCACTTAAATTCACATACGTTCCTTCAAGGAACCTTTGGTCATCCACCCAAACCAACGTAAGCTGTTCAAACATTTCCTCTGTTCATTCCCCAAGTCTGAGACTAGACAATTGTGGTCCTCAATGTGTTTTTGGATTACAACCGCCATATTGGTTGGGGTGCTGTGTATTCTAAAAACACTGAGAGAACCAAAATTACCTCTAAGCCCTACACCTTATAGAAGCTCAACAGATCTATTTTCCTGGTGTTATTTTAACACTGGAATACTATTAATCTTACATTGTGTAAAATTATCTGATTTTGTACACTATCCTGAGATCTTTAGATATAGAGTGATGAAGTATTTAATTTTTTTAAAAGTCAAAATACATATGAAGGATCACACGTTCTTTTCCTGCTTATCCATATCTCAATTCCTCCCACCCCCTTAGTCAGACTCTATGACCCTTTTGCAGAGGAATGTGACATGCCTACATACATATATACATATATAAGGAGTGAGAGCCAGGCTCAAGCAACGATATATTGCCAAAAGGGTCAGGAAAGAACAGTATCCTATCCCCCTGCTCTACTCAGAAAAGGACCTAAGGTGTGACAAATCAAGTATTGTGAATAACCAAAGGACAACTGCTGAGAGATTTGTGTGCTGCTTCTAACTACACCAATCATGCCGGAAAACCACTGTTACCTTGTGCCCTCAGCACCTAGAGGTGACCATGGCAAAGTAATACACTATTTAGATCAGTGGTTCCCAATCTGTGGGTTGCAAGACCTAAAATAAGGTCCGCGGCTCTAGATGATTAAATATGGCTTTCTGTGGGCAAGCAGATGGTGATTACTGGATGGCATATGTTTTGTATCAGAAACTAGAGTAGATGTGGTCTATCCAATGCAATTTCTGAATCAGCACCCCAAATAACCAAACTGAATCTAAAATTGATCAAAAACTGATTCATAACCCTTTTGATATTAATGTTGGATATTAATGTTGTCAAAATGGTCCCTGGTCAAAAAAGGTTGGAAACCACTGTTTTAGATGGAGCCTACAAAGAACTAGTTCTAACTATGTGAAGATAAATAATACTATGCAACATGATTTTTGTTCCTGGGTTACAAATGTCATTTCCTAATTGGTTCTATCATAAAAATATAGAAAACATTTATTAAACTGCAAAATAATTGTCTTTGCGGGATATCCTGCAACACATTTTGCTACAGTTTTTCAATGAATATCTCACAGAGTCTCAACCAATTCAACATAGTTTGCAGTAGCCATGAAAATGAAGTTTCTGGAGTATAACAACTACTTTGAAAGTAAGTACCGCACAATTAAACAGGAAATAACACTTTCAAACCAGGAATGGAAAAATGTGTATCTGTTGGGAAAAGAAGAACTGATTGTACATATCTCAACTTTTTAACAGTAAAAAAAATGGAGGAAGACACCAGGGAGGCTTAAGAGGTGCTATAACAATACCCCAATTTAGATAATGCCACCTTAACCTTAATGAAGTTTAACACAAAAAGCCATCTTCCTTGGAAACTTTAAAGATAATATGGGACACAAGATTTAAGAAGATTCTTTAAAGCTGAAAATATGAAAGCTAGCTTTCCAAAAACAGATTTTGCTTTCTTACAAATGGCAATGATCAAGCATGCTTTCTTCCCTCCAGCCATCTGAAGTTGTACTCTCCAAGAAAGACTGTACCATGTGCTTTTCCTTCACATTTAAACCTTTGATCCTGAGGGCAAGGAGGTAGATCTGATGACTCACAAGACCTTTGGAGTTGTACTTTGCTGCATTTGCCATTTGTTGTTACGCTGCTGCAGAAATCTGACAGAGTCTACAGACATATTGTCACAGTTCAGGTAGAAGTGACGATTTAAGTTGCAAACAATTTAGTTGTTAATGCAACAACTACAAATAATGCACGAAGAAAGTGGGAAGTCTCATCCATGTGTTATGAGTATGCTGGAAAAACCATCTAAGTTTACTCACATAACAAGATAAAAAGTACAGGGAAATACAGTGAGGGAATTATGTTTTTGCCTAAATTTCTTATTAGACTCTTATAGCTTGGCCAATATTAAGGCATTGTGGGTGCTGAAATACAAAACATCTGGTCAGCAAAGGGTTGCCAATCCACATTCTGGGATAGTTCAGGAAAGGTTAGTCTTGAAAGAGAAATCTAGAGGGCAAAAGGAATCCTTTCTTTGTATACAAGGAGGTGAATGTAAGATGACCTTACAATCCTTCAACAGGCTCTGGTTATTACTACTGGGATTCCAGTTTGTGTGAGTAATGCAAATAATGGCCCTGAAAAGAAGGTCCGCAAATCTGCACACCAGCAGAACATACTTTGAATGCAAGAAAAAGGGAGAAAGTGGCTTCAGATCGTCCAGCGATTTATTCCAACACCAAATAAAGCCATTCCACTTGCCATTTTTTTTTTACAGCTGTGGCTTTCTAAAGCCTCAAATGAGAATACAATCAAACATAACATCTAAATTGGACAGAAATAAAAAGGAATGGCAAACGGACATGGTTTTGCAGGGAGTGCCCAAGGAACGCTGACTTCTTGCTGAGATGTTGTATTTTAAGCAGGGCCGGGCTCTGAACGTTTAAAAAGAGAAAGTTTATTCCAAAGGCCTGGAGCAGACTCAGAGTCATAAACATGATAATTAATATAGTGCCTTTCATAGACTTCACATGCATTATTTTGGTAAACATCACACTAGCTCCTGTCAAGTTAAAAGCAGCAATAGAATACCTGTATTTTAAAATGGAGATAAGGCAGAAAACAGATATGGACATATTGATAGGTCTTTGCATGATTTGTGCTAATTGGCAAGCATTTCACACTCTCCATTATTTTTATCAAGCCCAGCAACAACATGACATAGATCAGTGCTTCTCAACCTTCCTAATGCCATGACCCCTTAATACATTTCCTCATGTTGTGTTGACCCCAACCATAAAATTATTTTTGTTGCTACTTCATAACTGTAATTTTGCTACTGTTATGAATCATAATGTAAATATTTATTATTATTTATTAGGAGCATTTCTATCCCATCCGTCTCACCGCCGAAGAGGGAGTCAGGATGTCTACCAACAGGCACCATTCGGTGCCAAACAATAAAACAAGCACAATATACAATTAACCTACATTAAAAACAATTATACATACATTAAAACAGTTCGCCGTTTCACATCATCTTCCAAATCAATCCACCTGATATGCAGGATATGTTTTCATTCACTGGAGCAAATTTGGCACAAATACCCGAATTTGAATAATGGTGGGGATGGGGGGGGGAGGGGGGTTGATTTTGTCTTTTGTCATTTGGGAGTTGTAGTTGCTCGGATTTATAGTTCACCTACAATTAAAGAACATTTTGAACCCCACCAATGATAGAATTGAGTCAAACTTCCCACACAGAACCGTTATGACCAACAGAAAACGCAGTATTTTCTGATGGTCTTTGGAGACCCCTATGGCACCCCCTCGCCCCCCCCCCCCCCCCCCGCCGGGGACCCAGGTGGAGAAACGCTTACATAGATGCAACACACACACATACATGGATGATTGCCTATACATTATTCTTCTGAAATGAAAAAAATGCCTGAGGAAGCCACAAATAGATTTCTGTGTGTGGAAGGAGCCCGAGTTCAATTTGCTTTGGTTTGTCACTCAAAAGCTCCAGGACTCCAAATTTATTAATTTCAGTGATTATGTCTTTTGCACCAAGATGTAGCTGACAGAAATCGGGATTCTCATAAAACACAGCAAACACAAAGCAAGTCCTACACGCCTGATGTCTGCGGATTCATATTTTTAGAGAAAATTTTGAAGGAGGAGGAAATGATCATTGACTGGAGGGTACACAATCTTAGGCTGAGTGAGGTATGTGCCCCCTTTTACAGCTCACAGATTTGTCTTTATTCAACTTCCCAACTGAATATGGAAACTGTACAATTGAGGGTTCCCTCTTAACTCAAAGCCAAGTCTGAATGGGGCCTTGACCCTACAGCAGTGTTTCTCCACCTGGGAGTCAGGACCCCTGAGAGGGTTGCGAGAAGGTTTCAGAGGGGTCACCAAAGACTATCAGAAAAGACATTTCTGATGGTCTTAGGAACCCCTTTGCCAGATAAAGCTGAAGATCTCTCTGCCTGTCCTTCTCTTCTTTTTTGGAAACAGAGAGCAAATCCTCCCACCAAAAGTCCTCCAATTGCTTTCTGGATGTAGGTGAACTAACACTCTAAAACTCAAAGTCACCAAACC